ATACAATTTAGGTGCCGATAACCATGGCTGTTGAAAGTAGCACTCTTTGTAATCTCTTGGAATTTAATATAGACATAGTGATTCATATCATCTTTGTTCAGCTCGACAGATGAACTCGAATTGAGAACGGCCAGATATTCGTTACAACATTGTCGAGCATAGTGAACAATATATTGTTTGGCCTGTGTCATAGCACCATTCAATGGCATTTCTTGAACATATTTTTGGATAGCATCAGTCGGAGTCAATTGATACACTGCTGCAACTTGCTGAGCGATACCTAAGAACACACCACATGTTGCCTGGGTGCAAAATTGAACAAAAGGTGATGAAAAATCAAAGAAATTCAGTATTGATTCAGCCATACGTGTAGCGTTTTGAGTTAATATTGTAAAACAACACAATGATAACCATTTTTATAGGCAAAAAGCTCATACGTAATTTCCAAGTGTAATGTCCACTGATTGTGTAATTACATACATTGAGAAGAAGTGATGAAATATACGTGTAGACCCCCAATAATTGAAAATAATACGTATAAAGTGTATAAATGATGGAAAAACAGATTTGATGACGACACTTATCATGCAAACAAATGCAATATTTTTTTTCTTTTTTGTCACATCGATATCTAGTTCCTCAGAATCAAAACAATCCCGTGAAATCGAGAAACTTGCCGTTACGACCAATCGTGCTTTTTATGTTACAATATCAATTTTGAGTTGAGTTAATCGCTGCTTCAACCAACGATGAATGGATAAGTGTAAACACAAGAAATTACTTTTGTATCAGAGACTCAAAATGTCACATAAAAGATGGAAGCCATTGTCATATTGTCATCGTGCAAGTCAATGCAACAGGACATGTATATGTCAGTCACTCGTGTAAGAAGTCGTGTATATCTAATAAATAGATTATCCACTAATTTAATGTACACATATATTTTTCGAATAGTGTAGTTTCTACGTGAAAACAGTAGTTTTGAATGTTCATGTTTTTGATTTTGCTATTTATTGTTATGAATGCAAGCGCTTATATAGGGATACGGGAAGATCACTTAGAATCACAGGAAGAGGAGTCTTGAGCAATGTGGGAACAGGTTCATCAATACAATAGTAGACCACAACATGATGCTTCAACAACATGGGAAAGAAAATTGATGAAAAGTGAAAAAAAAACAAAAAACAAAGAAGAATCTGAAAAAAGAAACAGTAAGGATAACAAGGAACAGAATGGAAGATAAAAATAGTCATGTCTATTCACATAGAGGCATTTAGTCCTCATGCTCAATTTACTTGAGTAACAGAGACTCATGTGTCTCTCTCTTTCAGTTTTTTCATTCTTTCCATCCGAAACAAATGACCAAAGTTATCTCTTTGACTTTTGTTGAACTCGTCTCAACAAAATGCATCATGATAACAAAGAGACCGTCCTAAATCATAATTATGCATTTGCTATAGTCTTTTTTGTGTATATCTTTTAGAGTAAAAATCGAGCGGATCTTCATTTTTCACAGAGAAAAATTTCCGTTCCGACACAATGGGATACGGATATACCAGTCTCACTCCAATTTTGAACTTCTGTCTCAATGCGTCTTGATGAGTTTTTGACAGAAAAAGAATTAGAGGAATACACCAGATGAGACGTGAAAAAGTATAAGCAAAATACTATGCGTAATATTAATGTCAATAATGATTTCCTCGCTCTTAGCCATTTTAGTTTTCCAAGATGCCTGTAATTGCTCTTTACACATTTATCAATGGTTGATTTTAATGATAACTTACTGGTTGAAGGAAAATCTAGATATTTGAAGGGCTTCACTATTTCTATATTTTGCCCATCCATGAAGATATTTGGTGGTGGCAATTTTTTATTGCGAGAAAAAAAATCGATCTGAAGTTGTACTAATATTTATTGGTGGCTTTCATTTTTTTGAATAGGCTGAAATTTGATTACAAATTTTAGTTCCTTCAATTTCTCAATACTTGATAATAGGCAAGCGTTTCAGCAACAAAAAGGACTGGATAAGACCTTTCAGATCGTCCGTAAAATCATGTTCAGAATGAAACTTACGAACATGGGTCGAACGAAAAATGGTTGAGAAACTCATAATAGAAAAGCTTTTAGCTATATGAAAAGAAAGAATTTAGATAAGAGATTTGGAATAGTGGAGAGAAGTTATAATTATGTTATCTAGTAATGGTAGCGAGTAACAGTAAATTTCTGACTTGATATGGAAGAAGCTATTCTTCAAAAAACAAAGTTATTGAGACAAATTCTACCCATGATTATCTACGATTAGCGTAGTATAGACTATAGAACAATAGAAATCAGTGAGAAAAATAATATAAACCAGTTATTCAAAGAAAACCAAAATATAGAAGTTTGAAACGAATGTCTTAATTATTGAGAAAAGTGAAAACGAAAATTATTTTCAAGTCTTGAGAAAATATAATATCATTGAATCTATAACATATGTCTAGTGTGATCGTATCAAATGATAAGAAGGCTTTTATTTATTCATCATTTTTCTTAACCATTGGATGATCAAATCTGAAACCGCTATTCATGAGATGTTTTACAATAAAATCTGGTTTCCTTTCTGGAAAATGTTCATGAAATCGATCTATAGAACCTTTAGGATGTTTTAATATCCACTTGAATGATGAAAAAAGACTTTTTTGCGGTAATGAAACGTTCGTTAAATAGATTGTATATGATGTTGGTGAGTCTTTATAAACATAATCAACTTGAAACAATGTCCATGGTAATACTAAAACTTCATTCTCATCTTCAAATTCTGATAGACATGGTTGTGTGTCAGATATTCGACTTAAATTTATCGCTTGATCACATTCTATGGGAAAATTGAATATGAACACAACACGATTTTTTTGAATATTGTCAGGAGTTTCAATTACTGCATTTGCAAACCCTTCAGCAACAGAACGATCTTGAGAAGTTGATGAAAAATGTTTAGTTTGCAAAAGACTTCCACGATTTTGAACAGCCCATTCATACGTTGCAATTTCATCATCAGTCATTTTTGCACCACGATACGATAGTCCTTTGAAATATCGATCTTTTAATGTTTGTAATTTTATATACAAAGGTAATGCTAATGGCATTGAATTTTGTCTTAGAGATGAATAAAAATTTGTTTACAATGTGTACAAACGTATAAGGTGTTTAATATGATCATTAGAAAGATCTGTTAAAAATTTATTTAATAATTCATTTGCTTTAGACGATTCCGGATCTTTGTTAGCTATGAGTTCTCTGTCAATTATATCTTGAAGTCGAATACCAATGGCATTCAATGACATTGGTGCATCATCATTAAATTTATCAGCAATACATCTTCCGAATTTTGATTGACACATGGCTATTGATGTAGTAGCATAACCTATTTCAAGTTGTTTTTCAGTTCTTGTTTTATAAGTTTGAAACGGTGGCATCTTTTTCATTTCAGATGGTGACGTCGAAAGGGGAACAACAGTTTCTTTTTTCTACAAAAAAAGACATGGTTACATTTTCATAACAGATTCATATAAAGAAAGAGGAACTTATTAAACGGACATGTTGTGCTTACTTATACTCGCAAAAACAATCGATCCTTCTGTGACACATTTATTAACTTAAACCCTTTAACCGGTATCTCAATCGTGGTGACCCCTGAGTATCCTTGTGAAAGGAATTTTAAACTTATCTACAATGTATTCATGCTTACGTCTTTTTTAGGGCGTCGGACAAAATCAAAACAATCATCTATAATTTCATCTTGAAAACGTTGACTACAATTGCGAATTTGTGACCGTTTGAATAGTTGTCGAATATCATCATTGGCAGCCTCTTCATAAGCAGTTAAACCATATCGATTTATTTTCAATCGATCACATCCATTTTCTAGCAATAATTTAACTATTTCTTTGTGACCATAGTAGCAAGCAGCATGTAGTGGTGTACTATCGACATTTGGTTCTAAAGGATTTAGATCATATTTTGCTTGTTTGAGAGTCATCAGATATTTTTTGACAAAATCCACATCGCCATTTCGACATGCAAGATAGAATTTACTAACTTGAGATGGTTGTTTGGTGATCGACATACGATTCATTCAATAATATTCCTAGAAAATAAATCGAATTAGATTTGAAAATTTTATTAAGTATCAACAAGAAAAAACATCACTAATTCTGAAAAAAGAATATTCTATAACATATGTTAGTTCAGCCATATTGAATCATATAAGTTGTTTCCATGACATCATCTTAATGATATGAATATGATTCATTGACTGAATTTTCAGCAAGGTGATTTAGCGAGAGCGAAACCATTTTGTTTCTCAGAATTTCCAAAAAATCACTTTACTTACTTTGCAATCAAGAGTTATTTTTCTTGTATTCCTGCACGATTTTTGTCAATTATTACTTTTGCACTAGTGCAGCCATGGATGAATAAATTGTTTTATGACTTGTCTCTCTCTGCTTTTCACGTGCTGTGATTCCTTTCACCTATAAACATTAAAGTGTTGCGCTTTTTATCTTTTTCTACCAAAAACGGAATAAAATGAATCATATTTTTCTGTCCATCATCTCAGTACGTTTACTCATGTTATACTCCTTATTGCGCTGTACATACTTCAATATTCGCATCACTTAGTTGCAGAGGCGGATCATGATTGATTAAAATTTATACATCGACATTTTCTTTTTAGACGAGCGCATAAAAATCGTCATGCTATTCAATAAGAGATTTTTGTATATCTGTAAAATCAACACTTTCTATAGAAGAAAGATCGGATTAGAAATTTTAAATCAAAATCGATCTTTCAATGAAGAATATAAACTCGATATCATCAAAGATACATGATTCTAGACTAAAATGAGATAGATTCAAGTTGACACAAATTGAATTTGTATGCAGATCATGAAAAACATATTCGCCATAAGAAGTAGCTAAAAGTATATTTTCATTCTTTATCAAGCCATCAAATACAATAAATTCTCTTATGTATATCTAGGAGTTTGAACATAAGTATGAAAGAAAGAAAGTCTTCCCTTTTGTTAAATATAGTTAACGATGAAAGTTGTTAGAAAAAATGAAGACTCAGAAAAATACAGACAATGCACGATCTAATTCCTGTAAAATATATTTACTTAAAGATTTTCTCTTTTTTTTACCTATGTGGCACATATCACTGAGTCAGGAAATGACACATTTTAGACAGTGTCAAGAACCAAACTGCAGTACTTTTTTCTTCTTGTCTACTCTAAATAAAATGAAATGTTGTTAAGAAAATCTCATTACAAAAACATAATTGATTCAATCAAATTAATATGATGATACTATTCAGAATATCACAGGTGACCTACAGTTTGTTTGTTCAATGAAGAATTTCTTTAAGAAAAACTTCAAGAGACAAGCAGAAACCATAATCTTAAAGAGTCTCTTGCATTGTATTCAGGTATTTTTTTTCTAAGTAATCGTTATGAAACTTGTTTTTGTTTTGTTGCCTAAGAATTTATTTTCTGTGAGCATCTATAGGAAACATTCTTAATTCTTCTAAACACAGGTGGTATTAGTGTAGATGTGACCATTGATAAGTAGAGTACATCACCCTTGCTACATTTATACACATCCAAATGCAACGACACCGACACTCAATTGAGACCCTTCAGCTGACATCGCACCACAATGATCAAAATGAAAATCAAAACAGTTTCACAATTATGAGAAGTTCTACTTAATCAACTAGCGAGCACATCGTGTAAGATAGCTGTAATAAAGATCAAAAGGCTCAGCTCCTATAAAAATATTTGTTTCAACTTGTTAAAGTTTGAGATTTACTCAATTTTTGTCGAATTCTTTGAGATAAAAATTTGTCCAGTCATCAGTGCAATTATAGAGAAAAATATGTTTCTATTGAAATTGAAAACGTAATATCCACGTCAACTCCAATGATCTTTATCCACAAGGATAATTCCGGTGCAATCATGTTCGAACTTTTTGTGCAAGTTCAAGAAATTTTTACATGCATCCCACAAGCTTCGAAAAAGTTGCGCCCGGAAATATTAGATTAAGACGGCTGTGACCTTTCTCAATAAACTTCTGAAAAGGATGTGTGTGTCTGGACTGCCTTGGTACGGTTGACTGTGGAAACGGCTCTGTCAAGTGAGCATGTCGACTTGCGTAGGTGTGTTGAACGTCCGTGGACTCCAACATAACTATCATGTCTACACCAAGATTCATCTCACACATCCTTAATCTGATACAATATTTTTTTCAAGTGTCAATACAATTGAAGCCTCCTTCGTTCTTCGTTTCTTTGAACATCCCCCTATTCTTTTATATTTCTCATATTCTTCATTTTTTAAATCAACTAAACAATAGTTTTTATTCTTTCATTTATCTATCATTGTATTTGTTGCATTTTCTTATTGTAATACAGCGTCCTGGTCAATGTTTATATTTCAATGAACAATACGAAACGCGTTGGCGAATTAGCTCTGCATTTATCTTTATTGATTAAGTTATCAAATATGTCATCTATACTTGAAATTATTCTCACCTAGTCAACTGCTGAAAAGCAAAAGTTAAGGCTAGCAGATTGGCTGTTATGGTACGTGCATAAGACCAAGTTGTTACGGGGATTATCGATCAGAGACCGGAATTCAATCGAATCGAATTGCATTCAAGTCTCTTTATTTGACTTACCAACCATCCATTCGTTAAATCTCAAACATGAACAATAAAGCTCACTGCAGTGTAAGGTTCGTGTTCTCTGCATATTTGTACATTTGCAAACGGAATCGATTTCTTTGTGTGAGAAGTCTATTTAGGCAACTATTGTTTGTATCTTCATTCAAAAATTTGTCAGTTTCTATTGATTTATTGTAAGATAGATTATTTTAGAACAAACAGACCCATGTGCAACTGTTGTCATGACTATTTCTCTTTCTTCATATCTAGTAGGAATCTCTAGGTTTTTGCAATATTTAGAGCTATTAATCTTTTGCATCATTTTAAAGAACATATGAATAAAGTTCTATTATTGGTATGGCGGGTGTTTGCTTCTTCGATTACATGATTGGCAGCATAGTTACAAATAATTGTAGATTTGAACATTTATTGCTCTTCGAAATATCCTGATTCGGTATTTGAGATGACAACTGACTTTAAAAGACTTGACTTAAAACCAAAAATCAAGGTCTGCTAATTCAGCGACTATGCAATTGATCGAACCAAGATAACATATTCCTAATTACAATTCAGGTCAGAGAATTGAGATAGAGGCTATTTGAAAAAAAGAAATTCGTTTAATTCCTTTCTTAATAGAGGCGTCTTTCTCCAAGAAGATGCCAACTATATCAACGTTAATTATGCAAATTCAGTAACTGAAACCTTTACTGATGGAGAAAAAAAAACTTCTCGTTATGATACGCAAGTTCTAATTTACACTGCAGCTCCGCTATGAAGTTTCCGAATTTCTCTGGACTGATAGGTTTAGGATACATTTTACTAATATAACTAAAAGAATCGTCCTTTTCAGTATCAGCCAAATTGAATCGACCTAAATCCTAACCAAGGTTTTCTTATTCAGTTCAGTCTTTGATTCTTACCCACAGCCTCTAGTGACTGAAGGTCTCAAAAGTGTCTCTATGATTCGCACGATTTGGTTGCCTCTAAAAAAAAAACTGTTCATTTTGCAGATCTAGCTATACAAAAAATGGTACAGACTACTCTAGACATCATCATTATTTGTCCAGATCATGCCAAAGATTATTCTTAAAGCTCCTCAAAGCCTTCGAGAATCAAAACAATTTTTATAAATTCGTACACTGGCAACTCAGACAAAAAGTCCATCTGTTAAAAAACGAAATAGTCGTTCTCCTGTACAGAATGTTTTTTTAAAACAACTGCATGACAGTATGAGTGTGAATTCAGATGCGAATGTGAATCTTCTATCCACATCCATACCGTATTCGTGCATTTTTACGATAAACTTTATTAAATTATAGACATATACTACCTAAATATTTTCTAACTTTATCTGTACAAACTAATAGAAATTTTTCTATTGACTGAATTGCTAGAAAGAAGAGATCTATTATAGACCATTCTGCAGGAATTCTATCTACTAAGGGTTAAGATAAGCTACATTCACACGCTACACACAATAGTGTGTGTAGCTTATCCTTGCTTATTTCAACCAATACAATTACTGTCCATTCTTTATTCTCATATATCCATACATTTTTTGACTTATGTTGAAAAAATGTTTAGTGAGACTTTTGTTGAATTACAAGATATATTTTAAAATAAGATGTATATGAAAATAAGGCAAATACTCAAATCAAACCATATATGTTATTTCCATTTCATTTAATTATTCATTGCAATCACTGGAGATTAAAAAATTCAAATATGAGCCGAGTCAAAATCTAATTTTACATCATAAAGAAAAAAAATTCAATTAATTTCTCTATTATATGGGGAAAATATTTTTAACTTTCATTGAAGAGAAACTAATATCTTCTCACAGAAGAAAATTAAGCGTCTTTTCTTTATTATTTATCGATTTTTAAATTTATTTTTCTGGACTGCTTATATACAATTTTAAATTAAATAGATTTGAATGTTGAGAGCTTTTTGCTAAGAAACTTTTTGAAATATGAATGAATAGAAAACAAATTTGTTCTAATTAAATAGTAACTTTTTCATTACATAAACTTTTATGTAAGTGTTTAATATTGGAATTATTATTTCTTTCATATCCTAAATCTTATCGAAACTAATCAACATTCGGCAAAAAAATTCATAAACATAGTGTAAATTTCAAACTTTTCCTTGATATGAAAAAACCATGTTATTCCGTTTCTTCCATGAATATCAATAAAAGAAAAGCATCTCAAACTCCTCATAAAGGCAGGCGATTAAAATTCATTTCATGTCTTTCTGTCGTGAAAATTCTATCGATTTCTCAATATGTTTGCTTGTAGTTGATAAAACTGAAATGGAGCATAGTGTTGATGCCAAACGTCATATGATTTCCCAGCATCTGTAAATGAATTTTCATTAAAATAGAATTTTCTTAAAAAAACAATATCGCTTTCC